TTTTGAACAAGTTTAATATTGTCATTTTTAGTAATCTTGTTGAGTGTTTTAATGTTTAATTTTTAAGTAATTTCTTTTACATATGTTTATATAGTTTTTATTGATGTCTATCTCTTTTAGTTACTTTAGTACATCAAGTTAAACTAAATTATTTTATTTAAGTTAAAGTTTTTTTAATGTTTTAATTCTAGTTTTAGTTACAATAACCCTGGTGTAAACCACATTATGTGGTTTATTTTATGAAGTTGAAAATATGAGTTCATTTTTGTTTTTTTATTCATTACACTGGCTTGAGCTGATGTCAATTTTGATCACATTTATAGAAGATAAAAGGCATCTCATATGAATTCAGAACGCCCATCATATAGGATTGATCTGGTATTTATCATTTTTATTACATAACCAAATATCATGTCCAAATCTCTTCACCCCCAACTAGAAATACACTAAAACAATAAACAATAAGTCACTTTGAATAAAAGCAGAAATGTAAATGTATACCCAAGGCTTGAGCGACTAAACCAGCAGCAGTAAGACAATAAAAGACACTGATGTCCAGTAAATATGGACAGTTTTCCTGCAGAGGACGCAGGGTGAGTTTGTCACGGATCCGCTCCTGGATTGGCCTCCTCCCGCTCGATCAGCACCTGAAGCAGCTAATCAAGGGCTTTTGATTGAGATGAACTGAGCCTGCTGTCTGACCAGAGAAACAGCACACAGCAGATTTGTTTGGCACTTTCTTGTGGTGACACAAACACAGTGAGTAACTAACTAACCCATCTATATATTCATCAAGATGCATTCAGTTGATCAGAAGTGACTGTACAGACCTGTGTAATTTACAAAATAATTCTATTTCAAATAAATGCTGTTCTTTTGGACTTTCTGTTCATCTGTGAATCCTGAAAAATAAAATGCATCACAGTTTGCACAAATGTTGGGCTGTTTTCAACACTGATAATAATCAGAAATGTTTCTTATATATCAGCGTATTATATACTGATTTCTGAAGATCATGTGACACTGAAGACTGCAGTAATGATGCTGAAAATACAGCTGCGCATCACAGAAATAAAATACAGTTTAACACATATTCACACAGAACACAGCTGTTATAAACTGTAATAATATTTCACATTTTTTACTGTATTTCTGAACAAGTAAAAGCAGAAGTGTGTGTATCCAGTTCCAGATGTTGAGTGTTTCTGTCTGTACAGATGTGAATCATTCAACCCATGTGTGATGCTGATCCTACAGGAAGCAGTTCCTCTCAGCTCTTCCACTTCCTGTTTCCTCATCTACACGTGAGTGTTTTTTCTCTCTAGAGTCACTCTCTGTTCAGAGATACTCATGCATAAGCTGTCAAATAATGAAAGCATATGTGATAATATAACACAGTGAGGTTACTTCAGTTTGAAAGAGAATAACGTTCAGGGATTTAGCATGTAAGTGTGCAAGTGTGTGGTTTTACTCATGTCTGTGAAGCTCCTGCGGGGAACTACAGATCATGTACAAGAATTAATAATATTCAGTTTAATTCCAAATAAGATTTGCAGATGTATTTGAAATCTAAGGTCAATAAAAATCAGCTGGTAATATTTCACTTGTATGTCACATAGCTGTTTTATTTACGCCTTCGAAAATATATGACATGAGTTTTTATATATAACGGATATTTTATATATATTTTATTTCAAGTATAACAATTAAAAAAAAAATTGGTTTTAGTTTATTATATTTTCTGTGCCGTTGCTAGGATCCTTATTTCAGTGTAAGATTGTTGGATTATTTTTTTAAAGCGCAAATCATATTATTTTTTTATTATGTATATTATAGTATATGTGACCCTGGAGCGATTTTGTGAAATTGAGGCACTGCTGTGTGTGTGATGCTCCTCTGCAGCAGCAGGTGTCAGTGTGAGACCCACACAACACACAACACACAACACACCTGACAGACTACAGCTGATCTAATCAGTCACAGAATGCTCCTGTAACGCTAGTTCTCAGAAACATTAGGCTTGCTATTATCAATGTGATGTTTCTGAAATCCACATCGCATTTTATTAGCAGATTTGGTTCTCAGCAGTGACACATGACAGACTACATCTGATCTAATCAGTCACAGAATGCTCCTGTAACGCTAGTTCTCAGAAACATTAGGCTTTCTATTATCAATGTGATGTTTCTGAAATCCACATCGCATTTTATTAGCAGATTTGGTTCTCAGCAGTGATATTATAGTAAGAAAAGAAAAGAAACGTGTATATAACTTTAAACTAGTTTCTAAGGCAACATTTCCCATTTTAATTTTAACTTGATGCACTAAAATTACTCAAAATAAACCTGAGATAAAAATGTATTACAACTATAGACACATTTTAAATGACTTAAACCTAAATTAAAACGAAAACATGTAAAATAAATAAAAACTGATTCAAAATATTAATAAAACACAATTTATATTTAAAAAAAATTATAATAATGCTAATTTCCAGAGAAAAACACACTGATTCCAGGGTTATTATACAAACTCAAACTAAAACCGTAAGAAAGGAAATATTTCCCATTTTCATTTAGTTTAACTTGAAATACTAAAATGACTAAAATTAAAAGTGAAATAAAAACTAAAACTATATACACACAAAAAAAAACTAATAACAATGACTAAAATGTACTAATAGAAGTTACTATGTGTGTGCATTTATGCATATCCCAAAACATTACTAAAAACTAAAACAGCATCTCAAAGACCCTAAAATAACATCGTGTCAAATCCCACCTGATCCAGAGATTTCCCTTGAAT